ATATAAAATCATGTTTGGTATCGATTGAAATATAAATTTTAATTTAAATCAAAGTTAACAATTAATTTTAATAACATATTTCATGGAATCCATAACTATTTAACTTTTATCAAAATTTACTAAAAAATTGATTTTATGCAAGTGCCCCCCCTCCTTGAGATTTTTTTTTTATAAAATCGTGTTTGGTATCGATTGAAATCTAAATTTTAATCTAAATCAAAGTTAACAATTAATTTTAATAATATATTTCATGAAATCCATAACTATTTAACTTTGATCAAAATTTACTAAAAATTTGATTCTAATCTCCATCAAATAGGGACAAAATCATAATAAATTTTAATTTTTCACTTTTTCTCTCGTCTTTTAACAAAATATTAATTCTCCATCAAATAAGGGCGAAATATTACATTCTTAATAGCATTGCGAAGTGTCCACGGTCTAATTTTCTACGTCGTTANAAAAAAAAAGACGTTTAGCTCGCATTTTCTTTAAAAAAATTCAATTATTTTATTAACATTTATTATTTTTGTAATACAAATTTCTCAATATAATTTTCATCCTTTTATTAGAAAATTTTATATGGAATTATACAATTTTTTTTTTAGAAATTTTACATCTGAAAAAGTCATATCCTATGTAAATATTCGGATGCAAAATTATATAGGGTATGCTTTTTTTGAACATAAATTTTCGATTGAAAAATTTCTCCAAATTTCTTTGCAAGTTCGATTGTGCTCCTAACTTTTAACTTCTGCGTCCGCCCCTGGTTTTAGGTTTGGGTTCGGTGGGGTGGGTACGTGTGGTTTGGATTTTTTTTTTTTTATTATAGAAAATGTAAAGTTATCATTTTATCATTATAAAATTAGTCAAAATTATGGTCAAAGTGAATTTTCTAGTCAACTAACGGTCAAACTAACAATTTCCATCCATTTGGACTATGGGTGGCAGTTTTTTAAATATTTGGTATCGTGGGTGGCACAAATGAAAGATTTGGACAAAGTCTGCAACTAAATGAAAGATTTGGTATTGTGGCTGCAATTTTTCCTATATACTAAGTTAAATTGTCCTCCACTCGAACCTCCAAAAATAAAGATACATGAACTTATATTTGACGAAGCTTAAATTATAATTTAAATTAATCAAATATATTTTTTATTCATATATTTCATATTTTATAACTATAACTCACTTTACTTATTATCCACACAATAAAATCGGCTTAATTTTAGAAATGGTCACTGAAGTTACACCAAAATAACAAAATGGTCACTGAAATTCCAAAGTTGCAGAAAAGGTCACTCAACTTTCAAACACTTTCAGAAATGGTCACTCAGCAAAATTTAGGGACTTCTCTGCTCTAATTGAAACCTAAATCAACAAATTGAGGCACCTTCAAAATTGGAGGGGTTGAATTGCAATTTCATTTGGCAAAAACATTTAATTGACGTCTTTTCCTCTTTTTTTCATTGTTTTGGTTTTTTTTTCCTTTCATAATAAATAACTTGTGTTACTTATTTCTCCATAGAATTTAGAAATTTATCCTTAGAATTTATTCTACAAAAAACTATAATTCATATTCCAGTATTATAAAACACCAATTTCACCAAAATATACAACACTTTCACCATAGCAATTTACATTACAACTTCATAGCATACAACAACTCACAATATTCCACATTTCACCAAAAAGTACATGTGTTTCCCCAGACTTCAACATTCGCTTACCATATAAAACACCAATTTCATCAAAACATACAACATTTTCACCTTAACTATATACATTACAACTTCATAGCATACAACAACTCACAATATTCCACATTTCACCAAAAAGTAGTTGTGTTTCCCCATACTTCAACATTCGCTATAACAATGTAAATTACAGCTTGATAACATAGAATGACTCAAAATGACATTTTTCACCAAAAAGAACTATGTGTAGAGAAACACACAGCACATAATTTGCCCAAAACGTGCGATTCTGGCCAAATACTGTGATCTGCTTTCTGTACCCGGGGACAAAAAAATAGAATTTGTTGACAAAAAATATATAATAGACTTCAACCGACGTCATTTCTTCATCAACTTGTTCCATGCTTCGCTAAAAGTTGGCGTCGATTTTGAACTTCCACTGCCTCCTGGCCTTGGCTTAGGCTGGAAAAGAAAATGCCGCGCTACACCTTGTTCAATTCCAGCAACAGTAGTGGGTTGTGAATAGGCAAATCGTCGTCCAAAGTGTAAATTTTAAACATCACTCTATCATAAATAGTTGCCTTAAAAAGTCTCACATCCCACTTTGGCGCAATAGTAAATGTCTCAATGTATTTACGGGCTAACCAACTAGTGGATACACTTATATTCTTCAAAACGACCTTCTAATCTACATCTATCATTATACGGGAAGACCACCTCAAATCTATTGTGAATGCTGAAGTTCTTAACCGCACCCTTTACTTCCTTTTTGGACCTAAACTTCAGTCCAACCTCAAGCACGGGATCCACCATATCAACATCACCATTAAATTCTGGGTACGTAACAACGTCTTCGTCACTATCAGAATGAACGCTTCGAAGGTCATCTGAGGGTGCATATTCAGAATTTTCAGATTCATATTCCGCTTCCAAGGACACTATCTCATTCCTCACGCCGAGTTCAATATCCTAGGTAACGTTTTCTTGAAAAAGATGTCGTCTTCTTCACCAAGGCTATAATCGGAATCATTGAAGGTGACAAATTCTTCATCGGAAGCACTGTTCAAATTACCTAAACAATGGGAGATTATATCAGTAAAAATATAACCAAAAGAGGCAATGCCAAAAATTTCAGCGACAGGACAGGTTATCGTCAACAGGAAAAAGTTTCAATCCCTCCTAGATACCATCATACCAACAATCTAGTAAAACAACCATGTCAAGGACACCTCGCAGAAGTAGAGTAAATAACGCAGGAGCAGTTCTGAATAAACAGGGGGGAAAACATGCAGTGGATGTAGCATGCATGTCTAGTATCTTACTGAGTGTTGCAAGAAAACAAGCAAAATAAGTATAATATTCAACAATGGCATGTGCAATTGGAAATGATGTGCATAATATTCAAAAATAATCTCAATATGCAGTATCCCTTAAAGCTCCCTGTTAGTGCTTAAAATAAATACACCAACCAATTTATTACCCAGATAAGAAACGAGAGAAGAAACTATCTTCTGTTTGTAATTTTTTTTTTTTGTGGAAATGCCTAATAAACATGGAGCAGATTTGCGGTAAGATTAATTAATGTGGTGCAAAGAAGGGAAGCCAAATGCAAAACAAAATTGCTTATGCAAGTACCAACACATTACAACGTCTGTTTCTCAAAGGTTTCAATGCCAAAAAAAGAAGACCCAGTTCAGCTGTAAGAAGCTGAGACACGTGAACTGGCAAGCATATTAATAGAGACTTTACCCGAAAAATACAGATAAAAGAACCAATTAAAGTGGACCCAAAATCTGCCAAAATGCCTTTACCCGAACAATACAGACAAAAAAACGTTAAAACCAAAATGTTAACCTTCATCTTGTTCCTTCACGTCCGACATGTCGAATATATTTTAGAAAATTGTGGTCCCCACACTTCGATTTTGGCTGAAAGATTTGAAACCATGGTCACTATCCCGTGCAGTTTTTGAAGAATAAATTGATGATTAGGGTTGATTGGAAGCTTACCTACGGTTTGGGAACCTTCGGCCGGTGTTTTTTCGCCTAGCAATTCTTCTCACTCGTTGACGTCGAGATTAAAGGGAATAGGGTTTGGTTTTGTGTTTTTGCCAAATGAAATTGCAATTCAGCCCCTCCAATTTTGAAGGGGTCTCAATTTGTTAATTTAGGTTTCAATTAGAGCAGAGAAGTCCCTAAATTTTGCTGAGTGGCCATTTCTGAAAGTGTTTGAAAGTTAAGTGACCGTTTCTGCAACTTTGGAACTTCAGTGACCATTTTGTTATTTTGGTGTAACTTCAGTGACCATTTCTGAAATTAACCCCATTAAAATCTATAATATATTAAATATTGCATCAAATGAGAATAATTTTTTGGATGATTATGATTTTACTATAATTCAATTATTTCAATAATATCTTATTTTTGTTTTTCAATATGTATTTAATTTTACAAATTGTAATAATAATTATTATTATCATTAATTCTCAATTAATTAACAATCACATTTATTTAATTAATATTAATTATAATTTCACATTCATCCACGTCCACGTCCACGTCCATATCCATGTTATTAATTTTCAATTAATTAATATTCACATTGATTTAATTAATATTAATTAGAATTTTAAATTCAAGAATACAATTCATTATTCACCATGCATGCTAATTAACATTCAATTTCACTTAATTGAAAATTAAATTATATTTATTTAATATAAATAATTTAACATTCATTGTCACGTATATATTTCTTGACATTAATTCTAAATTAATTAACATTCATATTAATTCATGTATCGTATTTGTCATTAACTTCATTTATGCATTTAATTGTAATCCTAATACTCACATTCAAGCATACATTTTACTACTTATGAAGATGTATAATGATAGACATTTATTTTTAGGGTCTTGCATTTCTTTCACATTTAAATCAAAATGGTAAATAAATGGTCAAATTCACTTTCACGATACTTATAAAACATTTAATTTAATGTAATATATTTGGTAAAGTTTGAGGGTGTCAGCTGTAAATTTCTCTAAAAAAAATCCTTTTGGATATTTGCCCCATTTTTTCTGCTATAGACCTGAAGCCATTTTGCCCATTGTTTTCCGCAGGTTCACGTGTGATTCAGTAACACCCGCCATCTGGCGAAAGGATCTGACTGATTGAGCAGCTTCGTGTCATATTCTTCATTGTTCCCCGAATAATTCTAATACCAATGCTAAATTCACCCAAATTCTCTGCATTCAATTACACAAGCGGAGTCGTTCAATTTTTTTCTCAGTAAAATAATTCATGGGATCCGCCGGAAATTCATCGGATTCTGAAATTAGAGAACATCGTATTCCCGAAGAAGCTGTAAAAATACTGAAATCTATGGCACTAAAATGGGACGATATTACTGATGCAGATGCGTTGCAGGTTGTTCCATTGAAAGGAGCCATGACTAACGAAGTTTATCAAATCAGGTGGCCTACGAATTCTGACAAGGAATCGCAGTACCGTTCGAGGAAAGTGGTGGTGAGGATTTACGGTAAAGGGGTGGATGTATTCTTCGACAGAGAAAATGAGATTCGTACGTTTGAGTTCATGTCGAAACAAGGACAGGGGCCGCGTTTGCTGGGGCGGTTTTCCAATGGCCGTATAGAAGAGTTCATTCGTGCTCGGGTATGTACTTACAGGTGCTCTTTATGTTGTACATTTTACAATACTTGCTTGTGAAAATCCCCAGGCGATGGCCCATAACACATTTCCTGAAAGATTTAAATTAAAGCGTAAAAACAGCATAAATTAAGTTTTGATTCTGTTGAATAAGCTTTTAGACAAGGCACACATTAATTTATCTCATTTAATTAAATACACCTTTGTCAAGTGTAGGCCTGATTCATTTTCTCTTTGCGATGCATAACTCATTGATTAGGCTTGAATTCAGGATCTTTGCATGATTTTACCACAATGAACTAGTTAATGTAAAAGCTCAAGCTTTTAGAGGAGGGACACATTTATTTATTTAAATTTAGTCTACAACATATTCATACTCTAATATACATAGTGATTATATGTTGTTCAGTAAAGCTCTCCTAATACTAGTAGAGTTCATCACTTCACAAGTGCGATCAGTGGTGACATGGCAATTATTTGCAATCAGGGCTGTCACAAAGATTCAATCTTCAGCCTAATATGGAATTTCTTGATATTATTTGGAACTATGAAAAACTGGATGGCCTGTCTTGTAATGCTGTGTTTTCTGTTGTGCCATTCAAGACACTTTCAGCAGCTGATTTGCTTGATTCAGAGATATCTGGCCTTATAGCAACCAAAATGAAGGAATTCCATGATCTTCAAATGCCTGGGCCCAAGTCTGTGTGCCTGTGGGATAGATTGCGGTATGCTTGCTTGTCTTGGGATCTTCCCAGGTTGTTATGCAGTCTTAGTTGATTAGCTAAGGCCTATTATCTTTTTGTATCAGCAATTGGGTTAAAGAGGCTAAACGTTTGTCTACACCAGAAGAAGCCAAAGCTTTCTGCCTGGATGTCATGGAAGATGAAATATCAGCACTTGAAAGTAATCTCTCAATTGGTCATCAACACGTAGGATTCTGCCACAATGATTTGCAATATGGTAACATAATGATGGACGAAGACACCAGATCAATAACGATAATTGTAAGTATCATCCCTGGCTGATTGACGAAATTTGTGAAATGTAAGGACTAAAGTCCTATATTATTAGTTATTCAGTGGTATATTATTACATTTGACATGTAAGTGCATGTTCCATGTGCAAGATGACAGGATATGCTCCACGTTAATTTAAAAAAAGAGATAAAAATCAAATGAATCTAAAATTAGAGCACTCATATCTTGCTATATTCCTCAATGGAATGTCAAGACGCCACACATGCTAACAAATGGATGAAATTAAGGTTATTGTGAAAATTATAGCATGTGGTTTAGGCTATATAACTATATAAGGGTGGGCTATACCCTTATAAAGCACATCTAGTCCAGTTCACACTGATTTAGGTAGAGATATGAGTCCACCTGGTTGAGTGACTCATGAAGAAGTGATGGGCTGACAGGTGCCGTGATGGAGTTTAGTTTACTGAAGGCAAATGCATGTATATTGATCAAGTAAAATTGGTACCAGGTTGCTCTTATTTTATTACCTTGATGGTTTTTGGATTTATGAAGGAGTAAGTTCCACAACATATCTTCAAGCAATCGCCTTCAGCGAGGCTTTTTCTGGTTTCTATATTTTTTCCACCATCCTGACTATTCTCACCTTGTAGACACTGCACATGTGGATCTTAAATGGATCCATGGGTCACTTGCCTTGGCTTTAAAAGGCACTAGTTCATCGAGTTTTAATGAATATTGATATAATCGTCTTGTCTGATTTATTTAAACAATTGGTTGTGTATTCTATTTGCATGCCATTTGATTTGGCTATATTACACTTTTCATTCTAATATTCTTGACCACACCTGTTTTGCAGGACTATGAATATTCAAGTTACAATCCTGTTGCTTTTGATATAGCAAATCATTTCTGTGAGATGGCTGCTGACTATCATACAGAAACCCCTCATGTTCTGGACTATAGTAAATATCCAGGTAGACAGCCTGTTGATTTGTTCAACACTTTCTATGCCTCATTCACGGCAATTGAGCCACCATGTAGTTATTGGAAATTTATATTAAATTGTAACTTGACCCAACAGGTTTTGAGGAGCGTCAAAGATTTCTGCATATATATCTGAGTTGTTCAGGTAGAAATTAATTCGATTTATCATACATTTTTTTTTCCATATGAGGTAGTACATTGTTTTCTTCTTAAGGGGAAACATATATTCTCATTATGATGCCGTATTTAAGCATACAATGGGGTAAATCAGTATAGGATAGTCCACTCATATAGTATCAGCATGTTTTCTTCTTCCTCGCTAAACAACTCAGTATACAGGACTATTCATGAAAGCATATCATCTCTTCTGTTAGTTGTAGAGTGAACGATGAGTGTTAAATGCATGATTACTGGTATAAGATTTGTTTTTTCATTAATATTGGGAAAGGGGAAATGAACTTTGACAACTGTTGATTTTAATGGCCTGTATCTTCCTACCTATTGGCAATGCATCTTGAGTGACCGTAGTGGAGTAAATAAGTGCAAAATTTTTGTTTAATGATAAAGGATAAACTGTCTTGTTTACTATTATCCTCTGACACATTAGGAAAGTTCATGCAGGCACTCAACCTAGCGACTCAGAAGTGGATCAGTTGGTTCATGACGTGGAGAAGTACACTCTTGCAAGCCATCTCTTTTGGGGCTTATGGGGAATAATTTCGGTAATTTACCTAACTTGTAAAGAAAAATGCTAGTTAGTTATTCCCAATTGATCAACTGTAATAAGAATTAGTGAAATGCAGTTTTGCTATAATCATCTCATGTGATACATAATCAAATATTTTTCTGATTAGTAAACTCAGTTATATATGTAGTTCTTTCCAGATTTGGCTGGATTGGAATGTTACTTGTTCTGACTAGCATATGGCTAATGCAAAAAGAGAGAGACAGACAAGGTTAAATTGTCACCTAGACCATGATAATTGAAGTTGTTACTTGTAGGAATGGGCCATCAGGTGCCACATAATGTGCATATTGATCTCTGAATTTGGCTTGATTTCCTAACTCAGGCTTGTAGCCGCAGCGAAAATCTCTTACTCAGAGAAGAAATCAATTAAGTAGATTTACCCACATATGGTTCTGTTGACAGTGAGATTTTTCCTTAAAATGAGGTGGGTGTTTATTCTTGGATTGGCATGTTTTCATGAAAAATTAGAAATCTAAATGGGAATTTACTAGATAAGGGGAGATATCATGTCTACGAGAATTTTGCCATCGAAATTGTTGGAGATGTTCAATATTGTATATAAGTTTTTTGCCGATAAAATATGTACAATGTGCAAGAGAAAGAGATTGATGGTTTAAACCTGAATTGTTCTTTGAGCAGGAATATAAATGTGATGATCACATAATTTATCCAAAGTACTGAAGGAAAAGGCCTTCAAGTTGAGTGAATTGAGTTATAGTCAACAGCCAATTGGTATCAAAATTTATGAGAAGCTTTTAGCTAACATATTCTTTGTTTCAGGGGCATGTGAATAAAATTGATTTTGACTACATGGAGTATGCAAGACAAAGGTTTCAACAGTACTGGTTAAGGAAGTAAGGAAACCTGAATTGTTGAATTCTTCAAGTCCTACCACAAACGTTATAGCTGACGGTAATACTGCTTTCTATTTTTTTTGAGTAATATTCTCTTTTGTTTTGTGTGTTTATGTACATATTATCTGCAGAGTTTCGCAATTCAATGAATGTTGTCAAATATTCTGAGTCGTGGATGTTCTCAATTTGTCTTCTTTCAGAGACATGGTCATTATATGATTATGATGATTATTGTACTGGAAAATAGAGCGACTTTCGTCCTTCATAATATGTACTCCTGAAGCACCACAGACTACTACTTGCCAGTTGAAATAAGAATCATAAATATTATGAACATACAAAATCAGCGCATTTTCCCAAATTTCAAGTGATCCTTGAAGGGATGTAACAATCTAGGCCCGTGTTTGCATTATTTTAGTTGTATTCATGGATCTCACTTGTTTTATTTTTATTTTTAAAGGCTTTATGAATATGCAAATATACTCGCGAAACTTTTTCCATTCAAGTCAGCCAACATAACCATTAGACTTCAAATAGCATTTGTGTTAACAAGGCTGGCATATTCTTATCATTTCGATTACGTGCTTGTGTACATGCCTCTTTTGTTAAAGTGTACTTTTGACATTGCAGGCAAGCGAAAGAGTACTGGACATTGTTGAACTGTACGTGGAATATAATGGATGTTTGGGAGGAATTGAGTAGGTCGACAGAAAGATAGCCTGAAGATGAAGACGAGCTATGTGTAGTACATGATCAGAAGATGCTCATGCAACATGTCTAGTAGTATTTTGAACTTATGTTATTTGAAGATTGGTCGTTTCTTTTTCATATACGGCAACTGAACTTAAATGCTCTTGCATTAGCTTAAAATAATACTGGGAACCTTAGAGATCGGAGGCGCACTTCCCTCCTGGATTACCCAGTAGTGGACTGGATTGGAATTTGCAGTAAATGATCAATTTGAAATGATTTTTCACTCGCTAAATTTTCTGTGACTCCCTTGGTTCAATCTATGAAATAATCTATTACTGAAAAACAATATGGCCATTGAAGGATGTTGCATTCTTGTTCCGTTTGTAAGCTATTTCGATCTTTCTTAATAGTGTCTAGTTCGGTACAACTCATTAAGCACACCTTTGAGTCACGAGTAGTATACTAAACTGAGTAGATAGAATTACATGAGTATTTTACGTGGCTTTCTTTTTCAATCTTACTCAATGCACAAGAAATTACATTACGTGAGGCAGTACAAACGGAGTACAAGAACGATCACAAACAAATCTATAGCTTTTTGGATCATGGAGCAATAGAAGAGTCAACAAGTTTATGATTGCGAAGCTTGACAATGCAGATAACACTGATAATTATCATTAGTCCGAGGCCAATGAAAGAAGCCAACATGGCACCACTTCCACGGTCGCAATAGCTACCAAATTTGTCACAAATTTTATTCCACCTTGCATGTGAATTCCCATCCCTACCAAGCTGACCCATGAAAGCTGCCGCACTCGCACCGCCGGAGACGAGAACAATGTTCATCTACATTTACACAGAGATCAATGACATCTTTAAAAACAGTTTTAAGTACAGACTTACTGTCGAAAAAATAGATTTTTTTTTTTCTGAAAATCTGAAAACAGAAGTGATTAATTGTTTACCATATCCAAGACTGCAATTGCAAAAGGGCGAAGTCCCTTGTAATCAAACTTTTGTCCCATGAAATTGACAATTAACATCAATAAATTATGGAGACTAGCATTGCCATTAGCTATCACAAAGAACCTGTACAAGTAGAGTGAATATATGTGATTTCGATCCAATTCAGTGAATCAAATGTAAGATTTATCTAAAATATTTCAACTAAGTGTAGGGAAAAGAAATCAGAAACATACACAAAAGCTGGAGTGTGTTGAAATTTGGCCGTGAGAGTAACTTGTATTGGAGTAGTTCCAACAGTGGCAACAACAAGAGTTTTCTTTTGTTTGTTAAGCGCCATTACAAGTGTCGCTGCAAGCGTCGCAAAAAATGCAAGCAATCTCAGTGCGGGAATGATCCAATCACTTAACCTGGGAGTCACTGCCACCTGCTCCACAGCAGCAACTTCAGGTTTCTCTCCGCCTTCTGAAGCCATTTTGATTTCCGGGGTCGGGTCGAGGCGGTGGTCAAGTAGAATTAAGGAGAAGAAGATACAGAAAGATCCAAATATGGCTGAATATATATAAGAGAGATCACAGAATCACGTGCAGAGTTTCTTTTCCAGCAAGTTAGACAAGTTTCTCTAATTTGTTTCAGTTAGTCCAATTCTCACCCAGTTTGATAATCAGTTGTTGGGAAAAAGAACAAAGGTGGATGTACATTTAGATGACAGCGGATTGGAAAAACAAGACCGTGATATTGCGTGCCATTTCAAACCTCAAAATAATAATAATTTTGTCAACCCGTCTTACATAAAAAGTTCAGGATTAATTTGTTGGTAAGAAACCGAAGCTATTTCTCATCTGAAGATCTTTTGATTCCCAACAGGATTACGGCTATTATTACAAAAACTCAAAAGCTAGTGAAATGTAGTTCAAGAAACACTTGTACGCATGTGTCCATTAAGGACTTGATACGATAATTGAACGCCACTGGCGCTGGATACTAAAATATTTCAGAAAACATTGAGGTGTCTATGTGCTTTAATTAATTCAATCTTATCCATGAACCCGTAAAATACCTACATGCAATGACTTGAGAACTTCCCAATCTCTGTTGGCATTAGTTTGGTACGCACCAAAACTTTCTGAAGTGTCATATCTAAAATTTTGACATCTCCAAATTGAGGTGAAGTGTCGAGATTTTATTAGAGAAAACCAAAAGGGCAATAAAAATGGGACAGCTGATCTGGACTCAAGAATCCATGCATGAAATTGTAATCCAACAAAATCTAAATTAAAATTAGCTTAATATAAGGTGGGAAGCACAATTATAAAAGACAAATTATTTCACACACACAATTAATCAGTTAGTCTTCATACAACTGGATGACATGAACAAATTCACCCCCCTAATTTACAACGTATTAATATCAAAACAATTATTAAGTAGCACACCAGCAAATGAGTGAAAAATCACCTTCCACAAGTTGTTCCCTCCATAAATTACCAGAAGAAAAAAATAATCGAGTTTCTTACAAAACTTTACAAGTTGCAGTATTGTATTTCCATACTCATAACTGCCAATCCCAATAAGCATAAAATGACTCTATACCAAGTTGAAGCCAAATAAGTCCGAAACGACCATCCACTTTGGGAACCAATCGTAGATATTACATATCATTAACATTCCTATGTCGTGACGCCAACAACAACATTGCTCACCTGCAAAAAGTCAGAATCAGGTCAGCCTAATTTATCTTCTTCATTCAAAACAACGTTAAAGGAAAAACGTGAAGGCAATAGGAAAAGTTGGTGGGAAATATGAAGAAACTCACCAGCTTTCCACTTTCATCAACGGACATGGGATTCTGAACGACGACTGTTTGATTCTGGGAATGGGCTGTTGACTGTAGCAAATAGAGCAGATTGATCATTGAATGCAACAAAAAAATATCAGAACCACAGTGATTACAAAGTGTAGCAAAAATATGCGACTGACCGTGGAAGTAGATGGTGGTGTTGCAGATGGAGGGTTCCCACCAGGTCTGTAAACAGGAGCCGGGACCCTTGTATCACCCATCTGCCAGAGTAGACACACGTTAGAGATACAGCATCAATATCAAAGAAAGTGGGATTGGAGTCAATGATAATGTTAATATGCAACATCAGCACCAGAGAGTACCACAGATAAGAACCACAGTCCTCTCAATAGCTAGTTATCTGGTAATAGTTATTTTCTTCCTTTCTCTGTTTCTCTTTGTTAGGGGTTTGAATTTCTACACATCGATAATTAATCATCAATCTTATAAAATCTACAGTATATAATGCTGATATACTTGACCTAAATCACATACGCTGATAAATCCGAACCACAAAATGAATCATTATTACATCACAAGATTAATCAAACATTATCAGCTGAGTGCAGCATTATAGTTTCCTAAGCATTATTTAGAGGAAGCCTTCAAAGAAGGAAACAAAACACTGTGTGTTGGGAGGGAAAAGAGGGAAATAAGCCCACCCAAACACGCTCTAAGAAATTTCCTCTGTGTGTATATGATCAATGGTGATGCTATAAAACATTCAAGTAAATACCGTGTTATAAGCATTGACATTTGTAATGTAGTGACAAATTGCACATTTGACCGAAGGGGCTCCTGCTGGATACATCAGCGTGGTATGACAGTTACCGCAGCTAACATGAGCGACATGATTAGATGCTGCACATCCATCATTTATAAATGTTAGTTATTAATGAGCAGAAGATAAAGGAAACTCGAACCATAAATGAATTTAAGAAGAAAATGGTACAAAGCATATTTGTCCATTATGCATTAATGAGAAGACAAAAAACCAAATACAACTTCTACAGAGAACACCTTTGTGACCATTCTGGAAGAAAAACGGGGATTATATACTTATTTCATGCATTTGACCATTATTGTATACAAATACAATCAGATGCCTGTACCTGGCACAAGATTCACTGTGTGACAGCAGGAACATCTGACACTGGTGGCTCCCCGTGCATGCATAAGTAAGGTGCGGCAGCCTCCACATATCAGTTGAGCCATTTCCATCCCTGCATGTTTTAATCAAACTTCAGTGATACAGACACCATCCAGAACATATAAAATAGCTACATGCAATTGGGACACAAATACATTTTGCTGAAGTTACAGTCAGCCCCCAAGGAAACATAACAAGGGAACATCTAGCCGTACTTTACTTGAATATATAGAATTATCACCAACTCGGGTATGAGTAAGCGATTATTGCATCTGTTTGCAGAAATTCATTTAACATATGCACTACAGATGCCAACCTGTCTTGACTCAGAAGATTATACTACGAGTCAAAACGAACTGCCTGCTGTGTGTTCTCAGCATAAGTACAAATCACTATTTCATCTCATCTTCAATAAACCATGGAATATTTTGTTATTCTTATTCCTTACAACATATTATGCTAAGCAAGAAATTGCAGGTAACTTCTGTAAAATCAATGAAAAAAAAAGGAGGCATGGAAGTATGGAACAACGCCAATGTATTTTTGCCAGACAACACACTAGCTTACTTGCGTATAATAAAAATTAAATAAAATGTGAGTGACAATAACGTGAAAGCTAGAAATACATTGAGAAGTACAATAACAACTAAAAAAAAATTATGTTCAACATATAAATAGATAAAATGACGTTATCAGTCCGCAAAGACCAAAATACCAGGTCTGGAGATGGGTTCTCTCCCTAACTGTTCAAACCTTATCTTCAAGACTGAGAGTGAGGTAAAAACCATTTAGTGATATAAACTCAAGTAAAGAATCTATACTGAAACTTAATCCATCAAAACCAATGACAAGTTGAAGCTAAAAACCTGAAGATCTGAAACCATACTAATAACAAATTCTCATTTTCTAAGTCTCTGTCATTTTCCCTGAATCCCCTTTTTTCACGTTAAATACTTGAGGAAAACAATTAAAATGTGACCTAGCAAAGAACTGAATATTTTTGGTTGCTTTTGGAAGGAAAATAGCCATCTGGAAAAAGATTGTTGAGCAATACCGGGTGGGGGGACAGAAGTAACTGCATTGCACAATGAACAGCGAACGTTCGCAGCTCCTCTGGGATAAAGAAGCGTGGTCCTACACCCACTGCAAACCAATTGGCCCTGCATATCTGCAAAGTTCAAAGGAGGATCGGTAAATTACTAGTAAACACTGACTATGCGCGTTCTGTTCGAGTTTAAATTTTTAATCTCTCAACATTTTTACAATCTATAATTTGAAACCCAGTACACCAAACTTAATCAATTATTGGAAGAAAAAACTTGACAGACTTTGTAAAAATTCTGCAGGGTTTCAACTGAATGTAATCGATTCAATCCGAGTAATTAAAGGCAGAGAATTCGTTCTGAGGGTAGGAAACAAAATTAAAAGAAGAAAACGTTAAAGGCAATTGCAATGATTTAAAAACATAGGGCACGTTACCACGTACACATACAATTCACAGGAAAAAAGAATGATAAACATCTAAATCGAAAAGAACTAAAATTCCCTTGCTTACCGCTCATCCGAAAACGCTGATGAATTGACAATTACGCAGAGAAGGCGAATTTCTTACCAACTCAAAAATCCGACGAATTTGTTATAGATTGTAGGTAGTGGAAAAGCTCGAAACCAAAATTGAGATTTTGTGGATAATTGTAACAAAAAATAATCAATAGAGTCTAATTTGATTTGGAGATTGGGTTGGGTTGGATTTGGGGCAATAATTCTTCTCCGCTGAAAATTAAAAGCGCGTGGGATTGACTTTCTCTAGATTGTGTTCCATATTCAAACGGAGAAGATATTTTTATTTGGAAACTTCTATTCTCTCTAGTCACTCCACTTTGAGTTAATTACAATTTAGTCCTATGAGTTTTGATATTTTCTATTTACCCTCCCAAGTTTTGGTTATTTGCCTAATAGCCCTCTCAATGTTTGAAAATTGAAATCATAGTAATCTACCCTCCTTTTTATTTTTATTTTTTTGTTAATCCATTTTATCCACTTTTTGGTGGCCATTTTTTTTTAAAAAAAAACATTGTTTTGAATAACGAATTTTTGGCAAATGTGTGAAAGCTTCATCCTTGTTGTCTCAAACATACATTCTGACTTCACAAGTTCAATGTTCGAAAGCTTCATCCTTTATTGTCTCAAACATACATTCAGAGATTGCTACTTCTCAATGCATTTAATTATTTTCCAAATGTAAGCTCCAATGTAAACTCTTTTCCTATGAGAATTGATAGCTTCGAAATCTCCACAGAAACAAATCCGTTGTCGTTTGAAACCATTGTTGTCGACAATTCCCTGTGCTCCGATTTTGTTCCGGTGATCAACTGACATCCCTTTATCTTGTTAGAACCGTTTGTCAGTCCTACAAAAATGACCTTATCTATGATCCACTTCTGATTCACAGCAAATCCTCCATTCAATACCTCAGATCTTAGTA